TAGGCCTTTTAATCCCCTTTCTCCCGCTCTCCTGCCCTGCTGCTTTGGGCATGCCTGGGTTCTTTCTCCTCACCTGGATCCCTGCGGCTGACTGCTCCTCTGTCCGGGTTCTTAGCTTTTAATCCCCTTTTTCCTGCTCTCCCACACTGCTGCTTGGGTGTGCCTGAGTTCCTCTCCTCACCTGGATCCCTGCGGCTGACTCCTCCTCTGTCTGGGTTCTTGGCATCTTATCCCCTTTCTCCCACTCTCCCGCCCTGCTGCTTTGGGCGTGCCTGATTTCCCTCTCTTCACCTGGATCCCTGTGGGTGACTGCTCCTCTGTCCAGGTTACTGATAACATGTCCAAATTACATGAGACAAAGTCTCACCATTCTCACCTTGAAGGAGCATTTTGGATGTACTTCTTCAAAGACACATTCATTCATTCTTCTGGCATTCCATGATATATTCAATAGTCTTCTGCAACATCATAATTCAAATGTACAAATTGTTCTTTGGTCTCCATTATTCGTTATCCAGCTTTCACATGCATAACATGTGATTGAAAAGACTATGACTTGAGACAGTCATATCTTAGTTCTCAAAGTGACATGTTTGGTTTTCAACACTTTAAATAAGTCTTTTACAGCTGATTAACCCAATGCAATAAGTCATTTGATTTCTTAACTGCTGCTTCTATGTGCATTGATTGTGGATCCAAGTACAATAAAATTCTTGACAATTTCAATCTTTTTCCTTTTACCATGATGTTGCTTATTGGCCCAGCCGTGAAGATTTGTGTTTGCTTTATGTTAAAATGTAATTTATACTGAAGGCTGCAGTGTTTGATCTTCATCCATTAAGTGTTTCAAGTCCTCTTTGCTTTCAACAAGAAAAGTTGAGTCATCTGCATATCACAGGTTCCTAAAGAATCTTTCATCAATCCTGATGCCACATTCTTCTTCAAATTGTCCAACTTCTCAGATTATTTGCTCAGCATACATATCGAATAAGTATGGTGAAAGGATATACCCCTGATGCACATGCTTCCTTTAAACCACACAGTATCCCCCTGTTCTAT